TGGCAGGCTGCCCGCTGCGGGATGGACGGGGCATTTGGGAGCAATGCTCGCGTGGTATCCACGAGTAATCTGGTAGCAGCCTCAGCACAGGCAGGTGTCAGGAGCCTGGCTGGGTTCACCCTGGCGGCTGGCTGCCAAATTTTCACTCCAAAGCCATGCAGAGGGCTTAAGCTGCGCAACTGCTTTTATGTTCTGCACTGGGCCGTGCTAGGGATGCTCTGTGGTTATTTTTGTCATGGGCGGCTCAGACGGAGCTTTATTTCAAAGGTGAATCAACCCTTCTTGGCACGATCAAGGAATTTTTTTTTAGTAATGCCATAGCTCAGACATATAGAGGTGGTGTCCCCGGAATGGCTCTGCCAGGTCCCAGCTAGATCAGCTGCCTTGGTTCCTGGCACTGGGGAGAGGGGACAAGCTGCAGGGGACAAGCATTTCCAGTATGGACGAGGCTGCTGTCATGTGGATCGTAGTAGATCTGTACTGCAGTGACCATGGCCTTGCAACAGTACCAGCAGGGTAAATACTTCTGTATTTCTAGCTGGTTTTAAGATGACTGGTGTGTGTTCTCCTCCATTTTATGGCAAAGCTTAGCCCCATTAGATGTGCTGTTCTCCACTTCATCTCTGGGTCCCATCTGTTCTGCCTCTGTTCAGTGCACACCCAGGAGCTGTAGCTCCGCTCGGGCTGCCGCCTCGGTGTTTTCTCACCCCTGGAAGGCCGAGCTCTGTGCCCTCCTGCACCCACGACCCAACACCCAACACCCTCGCGAGCCGCATGGTACTGGCAGCTTCCCTGGCCTCATACCCAGCAGGGTGTCCACCAGCCCCTGCGCTCGGTGGTGTTGATTCCCAGGCCTGAGCGAGGAGCAAAGAGAACCCAAGGAGGCTCTTGTTGAGCAACCAGAGTCTCACAGCAATAGGCGGGAGAAGCAAACTTGGTTTCAAGTCCCCAAAACACAGTGCACAAAGAACAGCGCCTGTAGATAAGGCATACAGAATTTATAGGTGACCATTATACCATATACATGATTATCCAGATAATAAACCACAAAAGAGTAAATGTTCATACTGAAAAATCTTACCTTGGAACTGCTAATTAGCCATTTTATTAAAGAGGAAATTAATTTTACCAAAGTCCACAAACCTGTTACATTTCCCTGACATGGAAAGACGGTTTCATGCTATCTGTAGATGCAAACATGGTGCGAGCACTGTGCAGAGAGGAGCATCATGTTTGTGAAAAGCTGTCTTAATGTTAATTCACATAAAATTATCTATGTGAGGCAAGTAAATATTTATTATGAGTAGTTACTTTGTTGCTTTGCCATGTGTGAAGCCAGTTGGTTTGCCAGTGAAGCTGGCTTGTTTTAATTTGATGAACCAAAGTCCTAGCTCATTTCTCACTTCTGTTTCTGTCTTTTATTCCTGACAATTGCTGGTCTTCTGATATCCTATTTAATATTACCTTGGAATAAGTAAATCTCTATTAGAATCTAATGTTTCTAATTTTTATTCATATTTCTTACAACTTTAACTTACACTGAGTTAACCTTTTGTAATGTTTTACTGTGAAGTAGTTTATAACCAACTAAATGAGACTACCAGGTAGGTAACCGCTCTCCTGATGACACATCCCTTCTGTCAGGTCATGGGACAGGGACAAGGTCTTTGTGCTCCATGGTGGCAGTGAGGGTGTCCCTGGCATGGGCACCTGCAAGGAGGGGAATTATGTGCCCCCTGGATAGGCATATATATATATACACACATATATATACACACACACACATATATATATGTGTGTATATATATATAATGTGACCCCATTACCCTTGCTAGAATTTGAGGCCCAGGCTCTGGTCTCTCTTCTCCTGGTGTGCTGCTGAAATCCATGTATTCTCACAGTAGTTTGAATGGAGGAGACAGAGGACAGGTGATCAACATGATGTAAAAAGTCATGCCACAAATGCATTTTCCATATGCAGCTGTGCTAGGCATGGTATTTTAGCCAGTGATGTAGGAACAACCATGTTATGTAGATTGCCCACAGCTGTAGGTCCAGGTCTTTTCCTCCGATAAGAAACGTTTTAAATGTTTCTAGTTGTTAATAATTTTAGTTAAAATTAATTTAGTTAATAATAATTCACAGACATTTATTTATTTGAAATCACATTGGATGCTGATTATTTTTTGCCATGTTTTATTTCCTGTTAGGGAATAATTCCCCTGGGAAATTTTGCTTTTGGCAGAGAGCAGACTTGCCTAGAAGTTTGCATGTTGATAGTACTGCAGTATGGTTCCAGAAGGGTTTTTCTCCCTGCTTGCCACGGGGGAGAATGACACTAGTTTGTATTTGTTCAGCAGAATATAAATATAGGGCTACAGTGCTAAGGAAAATATTTCTTCTTCAGCAAATCTTCTTGGCTGTTACATATATAAGGTTCTTTTGACATCTTGGAAAGTATATCCGCATGATAAAAGCATTCCAGATTGCTGCATCTTAACAAATAGCGGGTGGATTATCCTGCAGTATAATTCAGTAAAAGAGTAAGAATGTCCTTTTCACTCTGATTTAATGCTAAGTGTCTTAAAGCTGCAAGGCAACCTGTTTTCCCCCAGAAGTGCTTATTTCCACTACCCTTTTCTCTTTTTTTGAGGAATCAGTGGCTAAAAAAAAATAGTAAAATAAAATACAGAGAAGAGACAGTTTCTCCTATTTTGCTTTTAGAAGTACTTTAATCTATTTGGATCAGTAGGCAAGTACATATAAATGAAGATAAGAGATTTCTCTAGTGCTGGACTTAATGATACTTGTTACCTTTACCATTTGAGGAGGCAGGTCATTGTTAACCTCACAAAATGTTTTATTTTTTGTGTAGTTTGCATTTATATAGCGATGCTGTTTCCTCGGGCTTTTTTTTAAGGCCACAAATCAGTTTACAGCGTAGATGCAGTCAGGAAGCTTTGCTCTTGTCCCTGCTTTGCACGGCCTTGATGACCATGGGGTTCTGTCACAACCCAGATGTGCCTTCTTGAAACTAGACTTGGTCTCCAGGCACTAATGTGCCCTCCAAACCTTTGGATCATATTCTGCAATTCAGTAAGGGGTTGAACATCACTCTGTGGTTGTCCTGATGGTTTTGTGTGTTTACATAAACTATAGCTTTAATTTGCCAAGTGAGAACAGGGCACAACCAAGGTAGAAGGTTTTCCTAGGAGTAGGAAATCACATTCAGAAATATCTGAGCAAAATTTTGTATGTAGTTTTCGTTGTCTAAAGATAAGGCTTGGAAGAAAAGCTGCATCTTGATTGTGAGAAAGCTCTGCTCAGCATACTGAGCATGGATTCTAGTGAGAATTTTAACATTAGGAACGGGACTTTTAGAGCCTAGTGAAAAGCAGTACAGGCATTGCAGTAGGTCACCCTTGTTAAACTTCTGTTTTATGATAAATGTTTTATAGACTATTAACTACAGTAGTTTTCAAATATTAGCTTGAAAGATTTAGGGAGTTTAGATGAGCCACATGAGGTTTACATGTAAAATTCTAAACCCAAACTGCTGCCAATGTTTCCCTTCGGGAATAATTCCTTTTGGGGTAGTGGATACTACTGTGATGACAGAGAGCTCAATATCTTCATCTTTGCATAGAGTCACTGTTCAAGTGTGAGTCAAGCTAAACATAATAGTTATGTATAATAATCATGACAATAGTCATATGTGCAGTTCGAGTGAGAATGGACAAGGCATTTTTGCATTTATATGAATTTCGGAGATTGAAAAGATTGCAGATACTTCAATTTCAAAGACCCAAATTATCTTCTCATTTCTGCCAAAATTTTCAAGTGTGTTTGGTCATTATAGGTAGCTCAGATTTAAGACTCTCTGAAAAATTTAATCTTCAAATGCGCATAGTGCAAAACTTCCTGAAAATTAGGCTGCGTTAAAGTGTTTCGAGTTCACTAACTAAATTCATCAGCCAGATGTTTAATTCCTGGTTTCTGTGTTCACGTTTATTGTTTTCAGAATTATGCTGGAGATTGAGAAAAGAAGACAATTGAAATAAAAAAATGAATTAATATAAATATCATATATTATCCTATTCTTTAGGCCGTTTTGGGTATTTCTTAACCTGCCAGACTTGAATAGCAGAAGGATGATTGTACGGTCATCTGTGTCCTCCAAGTTTCAGTATGTCATGGTTCAGCTCACAAACGTTTTGGAATTTATCTTGCTGTCAATCTGTATGTACATCTGTTTGCTGAGACCAACACATAGACCTAAATAATAATTTCACAACTTCAACCCCTTTGGATTTCAGTGACTGAAATAATTTTCACCCTTCAACTTCCCAGGCTCCTCCCTGACACACTGGAGATCTCTGTTCCTGCCTGTAGGTTTTTTATCTCTTACCTTTCAGCCCCACAATGGATTTAGGTGCTGTCTTTGTATCCACATCTGGAATCCTTTTTTCATGGTCTTTGTGGAACACAGGTCCTTTAAATGAACTCTGCAAAACTTTTCTGTCTGAGAAAATCCTTGGTATTGCTTTAATCTTTTTGAAGTGATTTGCAAAACTGTGGAGCCATATAAAAAAAAAAATCAGTTCAAAACCTGATAGAAAGTTACAACTATTGCATATTTTCTTCAAGGGCAAGGCCTGCTTATAGCCAGGAATATTATTTCTAGATGAATTTTATCCCCATGCTGATCGCTTCAAAGTGTATTTAGAGGAGAGGATAATAAAACTAAGGCACCAAAGAATATGAAACTCATAGTAATCACTAAGGCATTGGAAGGCTGCTAATTAATAACACCTGAGAACCAGTTCTCTGCTCTTTGGAGAGGAAAGAAGCTATGGTGTGTGGTGTGGCATTCTCTGATGTACCAGTTTGAAAGATATGTTCTTATATGATCATATATTTCTACAGGGACAACCTTATTTTTTAGTCTGCCATTTATAGATTCTGTAGAAATTTAAAAACATGTATTTTTTCTCTTTCAGCAATTAATGAATTTCCTCAAGACATATTCACAAATAAAGAACGGCAGCAAGGAGGGGTTCTGCTTCATATCCTGGCTGTAAGTTTTCCTCTGCCACGCTTCCTTTTTATTTTCTGTGCATTTTCTTGTAAGATGTTTCTCATCTTAAATAGAACTGTGTCTGTACAGGCATGTTTCTAATAGTTCGATTTCAGATTTTTAGTATGTCTGTATGGGTGCAAATGCTCAAAGGGTAACATTTCTATAAAAAATGACCTTGCCGGTCTGGATTTGAAATGCTTATGCATTCATCATCTCGGAGATAAAATCTTGTCCCTGTGGATACCAGAAGGATTTCTGTCACCGATTTGTATATATTTGCAGTTCAACTTATATATACAAGGTTTGGGATTCCTTCGTGGATGACAGCATGCATGAGGAGCAATCTTTTGATGCTTTTTCGTTTCAATTGCACCTCTATGCCAAAGATGCAATTGTAATACAAAAAACACCCTGAAGAAATACAGAAAATGCCATGTGGAGTTTTACATTTTATGGTAGAAAAAGTGAAATAATTACGGCCTGCAGGCTCCAGTTTTCCATTCTCAGCTCTGGGAAAGTAAAGTAGAAAGGAGTTTTGTTGGGTTGAGAACAGCAGGATTAGTAAAGCCCACTACAGAAGCACAGAACACAAAGGCTCATAAGACAGTGGGTTTTCACATGTGTACATGAAACTGCCACCAGCCCTGAGAGGTCTCCTGTGGCGAGCCAAGGTCGGGCATGCTGATTCCCAGATGTGATTATTTCTTGTGTATTCTTAATCAATGTGGTGTTGCTTTATATTTAATTACATGGCCCAATAACTATCTGAAAATATAAATGATGACTATTTCAGTGAGCAAGACTCTGCCTGTTATATTATTATATTTGAATCCTATTATGGCATTCTATTCAGTCAAACTATGGTAAATTTAAACTTAATGTAGCATATGATCTCTTTTTGTGCCCTCAACTGATCAGCAGAGGGGCTTTTTTGTTTTTTACAGAATGGATGAAAAATGAAGCCATATGTTCTTTGTTCATTATTAGAAAACTATTAGAAAAAAAATCTAGTGTTGCTTTCTCTTTCTTTCTATATGGAGGAAATATCTGAAGTATCCTGACTTTATTTTCTTTACAGGCTCTCTATATGTTCTACGCTTTGGCTATAGTGTGTGATGACTTCTTTGTTCCATCCTTAGAGAAAATTTGTGAGGTAGGTTAAATAACTTCATTCACCTTTAAAGGCTGGTTAGAATACGTTATGGTCCTACGCATTTTACGCCATCTTTGGAATTCTTTCCTGTGAATTTAGTGATTCCAGCCCTTTTCAAATGGATGATCTTTGAAGGTCTTTTCCAGCCATAATGATTCTGTGATCAGGTTTTCCATCAAACGGCTCACCTGTGCCTTTTGCTCACATGCTCATGATGTGCTGTGAGCACATTGGTCCTCTTGATGACACTCAAGGTTCAGAAAAACTGATTTAATGAGAACATTTGCCAAATCCACTTTTAGATACCTGAAGCACCTAGGTAGAATGGCTATGACATATGGGTGAATTTGGTTTATTATTGTACTTCTATTTTGTAAACTTGGAGGAAAAAAAGTGGCACATATGGAAAAATTAATATGTTGGCTCGTCAAATTATATTGCCAGTCTATATTTATCAGCAACAGGAATTAGACTGTTTATACAGCCATATAAAAAGTGAGAAGAGTGGGAAAAGTGCGTATCTTGATTCAGAACAGGAATATATTTACATATCCAAAAATTTAGTGAGATGTCAGAGCTGTTTCCCTGCCTGATGTGCTCAGTATTGGCTTCCATCAGTCATAGCTGATGTCAGGGAGAGTTTTAAAACTGATGGCAGTATAGCACAGAGAAGCAGTACAAAGTATACTTGAAATCCCACATAGAGATAATAAGATATCAATATTTGGAAAGGAAATTGTTAGCATTATAACTAAAGTTATAGGATATTTTATGAGGAAAGCCCTCTTAAATCAGCCCCGTGACATTTCATGGTAGTTTGTAGTACTGTAGGCTTTTATTATTCAAAATGAATGTAATTCCTTTACATAATTTCTAAGAAGACTTTGCAAAATTACATACAGGTTTCTACTTTAGTTGATCAGAAAAGGGTGGAATTCATACTCGGCATATAAATCTTGTGTTGGAGAGTGCTGTGGTTAAATACTGCAAGACAGGTACTAAATACAAAACTAGAATTTGACTCTTTATGACAAAGTAGAAATATTTCTCTCATTTTTAAGCAAAACTGCTTATCTACAGTTTCTGAAAATCTCTTTTAGATAGTTTTAAAAAAAACTCTTTATTTTTCCATGAACATATGTGGCGAATTCCTCTTAACATTATTCAGAGTTCTGTACTTACCAAGAGGAAGACAAATGAGAAAATGGAGGAGGCAGTCAGTATCAGCTAAATATTCCATAAGGATATTTTCTTTCCCTTTAAGGATGTGCTATTTTACGCATGCACCTTATACACCCTATTTAAATTTTACCAAAATACTGCAGTTGATCTTTGAAAAAATCTTTGCCTCCTGTCTTGTGTTCTGTTGAACATTTAAGACAGCTTAGAAGAATTCAGTTCATTAACACACTTAATGTTTTTAACCTCTTCAGCACTGTAACTGGTAGTAAATCACATGGTAGAGCAAGGGCTTGCATTTCTGCTTTGTCAAGTTCTCTAGCATGCCTGTGTTCACCAGCCACAAATGGTGCGTGTTGCCTGAGAAATACTCTACTTTTGCACTGCTCTTTTGTTATCAATCACTTTTCTGCCCTTGAAGGAGAGATGAGATAGTAATGATGAGTCTAGAGAGTCTCAAAAGGAAAAAAAAATCCTCCATAAAACCTTCTTTATAGTTCAAGGGAAAGATCCTCAGGCGATATGAGATTGACGCAGCCCACTTGTGGAGCTGCACTGCCTTGTGCTGGCCTGAGAGCTCTCAGGGACCTATATCCTATTAGAGCTCAAGAGGCACTGTAATAAAAACAGATCCCGCTGTAGCACACAGGCTTCCATGTCTAATTGGTCTCACTTTGTGTGTGTGTCAGTGGACTCGCTTTTGATTTATGCAGTTGTTAGTGAGGTCAGAATCCGGCCTGCTGTTTACAAAATGGATCCACGGAGGTTACATTTTTCTCCTATTGATTTTTACTGTCAGATTTTAGAAGCCTCAAGAAGAGTAAGTCTTATGATTGCATTTAGAGTTCCTGAAGTGAAATTGTGAAAATGATTCAAGATGAATTTGCAAGCTTTTAGGGTCTACAGGAATGTCTTTCTCTAATCAGACACATCTAAGCTACAATCAGCTATTCAGCTGTAAATAAATAGAAAATGTTATCTAACAGCTCACTGATTTAGGGTATAGACATCTTATTTGCCCAAACTATATTTGCGTCTTAAAATTCTATGTATCTATTTCTATATCATAGTGACTGTTCAGCCTTTTACAGCATCATGAGCAGCAAATGTTTTTTTGAACTGAGGGATTCGATAGAACTGCACCATGTAAATTAGAGTACATTGCTGAAATAATCAATACTTTTTTTCTTTTTTCCCCTCAGAAACTACATCTGAGTGAAGATGTTGCTGGAGCCACGTTCATGGCTGCAGGAAGCTCCACTCCAGAGCTGTTCGCATCTGTTATAGGTATGGAGCCCACACACGGGCTTTTATGAGACCTGCTGTTAAAAAATCAGCAGCAGATCAAGCAGAGGTATCCAAAAGTACTACCATTCTTTTGTCACTTTATAATCAGCGATTATAGCTGTCAGCCAGTCTGTGTTTCACGGTATAATTAACTACTCAAAACATCTCATGAAACAGTGAGTCTCCTCTGAAAGCAGAGAGAAACGACTGATTCTGAACATAAGAAGCGAAAGCTGAGTTTTATTGCAGCCCTCTGGGAGAGAATTAGAAGCATCTGATGATGCTTCTAGCTTCTTTTTTCACAAATAAAGGGAATTAATTTTAACAAGGAAGTAGGAGAACAGGAAACATGAGAAAAGAACAAATTCAATAATGTACAGATAAGCTAGAGCTGCTAAAGTCAGAAAGACATGATGATATTCTCTGTAGATTAGTTAAAGAATTACTTGAATGAATCCATGAACTACTAAAGATTATTGGCACAGAGTGTTTAAATGGCAATTGTACTGTCAGGAAAGAAGGACACAGGAATTCCCTGGGAGGAGTCTGCACAAAATACGCTGATAGGAAAGGGGAAAGCAGCAGATTTGAAATGTGTTTCTTTAGTCAAACTTAGCTAGGTTTATGATACTGTTCTGACTGACAGTCTTTCAAACTTTTGGGAAGGTAAATAGGATGGAGAAAGATCTTGATCAATATAAGATAAAAAAAATTGCAATTTAATCAGGGTCAATGCAAAGAGTAAGCATAAAACGAAGTAGATAGATATAGAGAGTTAAGAATGGTTAGAGATCTGTAGATCAAAAAGGACCATAGTGTATTTTAAAAGAAGTGGGAGTCAAACAGAAATGGATGGTGGGATGTTGCAAATAGCTTTCATTTTGGCACATATTAACTGCAGCCTTTTGAGTAAAGTATGGGGTTTTCAAATTATCCTCTTTTACTCAGTTGTGTTAGGACCTATTAAGGTTATTATATCCAATTTTGGTATTGTGCTTCAAAAGAGTTGCAGACAAATTAGAGCAAGTATAGAGAAGAAAGAAAGGCTAAGAGGCTCAGAAAGTATTATTTATAAGGAAAGCTTGAAGAAAGTGAATGTAAACCTTTAAAGCCTCCTTTACTGGAATATTTTAAGTACAAGGAGAGATAGCCCTGTAGTATGATGTAGATATATCTGGTCCTGCCTCAGTGGTGAAAGTTACCTTAGATACCCTTGGAGCCTTTGATTTTATTTTCAGATGTGTCTTTTGTTTTTCTGATATGCTTTTGATATCAGTAAGTATATGATGCATCCACGGGTTCTGTACTAAGAGAAAGGGCTAAGCTGGTGCTAGAACTGCATAAATCCAAAACCTGATTCTTTACTGGCATCAGAAGGCACGCATTACACGCAACACAGCTGCTGTCTTTTTGAGGGAAGAATCTCTTACCACTGTGAGAGCTAAAAAAAAGAGCACACCAAATATTAAATGCCTGGAAGAAACGTTTGTGTGTATGGAATTATATTCCATGTTCTTAATGGGATAGAGTTGTTTATGTTTACTCTAATGGGTTACTACACCAGTAACAGCTAAGCTGTCAAATACAGGACTTACTATTTTAGAAAATTTATCCACTTAAACATATAGAGATGTTAAGCCGAAAATGTGGAGCCACTAGCTAGCCTAAAAGCACAAAATACACCATGGAGAAATGAGCATTTATTATGAAGCATGTTTTGATTAAACTTTCAAGTAATCTTTGTTATTGTTGAGTAGTAGGTAATCTGATAGCCTAAAATGAAGTGATGGAGATGATAATGCATATTTTGCCCCCTCTGCAGGTGTATTTATCACTCATGGGGATGTAGGAGTAGGAACCATTGTTGGTTCGGCAGTTTTCAACATTCTCTGCATCATTGGTGTCTGTGGAATATTTGCAGGACAGGTGAGTAAGATACATTCTTTTTTTATGGAGTTCAGTTGCTTCTGTTAATGGGTTTTGTGTGTGCAAATACATCTAAAAATAGAGCACTACTGGAAAAACAATAAAAAGTGGAGGTAATGCCAATGTAGAAAAAAATTTGCAAAACTTTTCAGCTGCATCTCCTAATCCTTTCTGGTCCCAATGATGATCATTCTAGGACCCAAGTGTAAGATTTGCTTCATTTCCTCTGTTGGTGGTCAGACTACGTATCATATTTTTTCACATATACCATAATTCCCACAATGAAGTGGGAATTGTGCTGGCACTGGCTTTGCAGCACAACAGTGAATTCTACTTTATAATTGAAATTATGGCCAATTAAAATTACATTAGTAAGAAATGTCTTTCATTAATGAAAGTTTCTATATTATTTTTCTATTAAAGGTTATTACAGATTAATTGTCTGACAGAATGATACATCGTCTTGTTTCTACATTGGCAGACTGTCTTCTTGTTTCCCCAGGACAGCTATTTATTCCAGAATCCCTGCTAGTAATGATTCTGCTCACACATCTAAGTGGTTGCAAGATGGAGGCCTTTGTTGTAGAATCTTTCTTTTCTTTGTTGTCTTAAAACTGTGGGTTTTTGTTTGCTTATTTTCAGGTGGTGAATCTCACCTGGTGGGCTGTGTTCAGGGACTCTATGTACTACACATTATCTGTGATCATACTTATAGTTGTAAGTAGTTCCCTTGCCAATCAGTGTGTTTTGTAGCTTGACTCTGCATGTTCAGTCTGCAAACAATTGATTTATGTTGCTGAACAAGTTTCATAACTAGTTCTAGTGACATCCAGGAGTGAGTGCTCAGCAAGATGACTCCACAGCCTGCTCCAAAAGAGAAAGCTTTGTGCAGTGCTGGAATATGTCTATCATATATATTTTGTATCTACAGCCTATAACATTCTGCTATTGGTAGACAGGGCAGTCAGCACAATTTTGACCCAAGGGGGACTGCTTGTGGCAGAAAGTTTTTGAGCTCTATTTCAGAAAGTTTTTGAGCTCTATTTTAGAAAGTTTTGCCTCTATTTTAAATAGGGAAGGTATCTATTTTTTGCTTCTACATATTATTTTTATTACACATATTCTTGTCAACCTGCCCATATGGGTAAATTTTACTAAATAGATCGCATATAATGTTCTGTTCATGTAGGGCAGTGTAGTAATTCCTGTGAATATGCATTTACTGCATGTTGTGGCTTGGAGGGGGGAGAATATGCTTAGTTTGGTTTGTAACAAGTGTGAAAGACTAGCTGACCATTCAGTTACATTAAATTAACTAGGATGGAGTAAATCATGTATAAGCAGCTGGCCTAAGAGCAGAGGTGAAACAGCTGCCTGCTCTGCTAAAATTAGATTAGCTATGAAAGGATTCAGTGCTTTATGTCTTAAGTCTCTTCTAAATACATGCAACTTCACCATCTTTTAGAGTTGCACAGTATGTGTATGTGGTGGGGGGCGTGCATCTATCTGTCTTTCATTGATAAAAATCACTGAGAAGGATCTGGGCCTTGTGTGAAAGATTTGTGCTTTGGAGCTGTAAAGGACAAAGTGGCCAAAGTGGGGATCCGGTAGTTTCTGATTAGATATGACAGGTGTTCAATAAATTTGACCATTTTTCAAATTAGAAGATAGGTGTGAAAAACTGTCAATTTATGACTTCTTCTTTTTTTTTTCCTTATAGTTCATATATGATGAGAAAATAGTATGGTAAGTTAAGTAAGTTGTTCTCTACAGCCTTGTATTTGCCCTGAGAGATCAGTAAATAGTGTTACAGTGTAACTAGATTTTGTTGTTGTACCCTACAAGTAGGAGTTGACTTCTAGGAAATATTGTTTATTTGCTCTAGTTACATATTTTATGATGAACATTTTATGATGAAAACAAAAAGAAAAATTAATAACTTGGAAACATTAACAAAGTACATAGGTTGTAATTAAGGCCCGAAAGACTCTCACATGTGCAGAAAAGATAACACGTTCCACTGTTCATGTTCTAGTTGAAAACAGTACGTGGGGGTGCTTGGTTTTCCAGAGGGTGGTGTCTCTGGGAAATCTGGGATCCTAGAAATATGTCATATGCATCCTGCAGAGCAGCCCCCTCGCAGTGCTCGCCCTGTGGCTCAGCTCTGAGCTGCCAGTACACCCTGCCCATGTGATGCTCAGAGGGCAGCTCTGGCTTCAGTCTGTGCAGCAGGTTTCTGGGATCCATGCAGTACACATGGTCTGTGTGTACATCTCTTGGAACTTGGAAGTCTTTGCTTCTCCTTTCTGCTGAGACCCCCATATGTGACTCTTTTGTGCACAAATGTGACTTGGACTAGATGTCTAGTGCTCATTCTTACTGAAAACTTGTAAAGGATATAGCTGTTGGAATGGCCATTTAACTGTTTTCCTTTTGTCTCTTTGAGGTGGGAAAGCCTTGTACTCATCATTATGTATTCATTCTACATACTTACCATGAAGTAAGTGCTTTTCCCCTTTCCATGCCCTTTAGCTGCTAATTGGCTGTCCTTTTTTGTGGTGTGATTTTTGTCCTTGGTCCTGCCTAAGGACAATGCAGCCAGTCTTGTTGCTGTGCAGGATTCCTTGCATTTTCATGCGTAATCAGTTTTGCTCCAGGTATGTGCTCAGTTGAGAGCAAATCTTTGGATTGCCTTCAGAGGTAACGTAGGCTTCAGAGATAATTGAGAGGAAATGCTGTTGTGCAAATATATGTAAAAAAGTCCACTGGCTTCTCTGAAGTTTAAGCTCGCAGTCTGTCAGCTATGAGACATCAGCTGCCTATGCACATGCTTATGGGGTGGTAAAATATATTTTATTCCTCTTTCTCTGAGGGGCAAGCTGCTGTGGATTTGCTAATTTTCTAAGTGTATGCTTAAGCTTAGCTGATGGTAACTTCCTCCTCTGGCCATATCTTGATACCATAGTTGCATTATGAGGTTGTATTGTGGTGGGGAGAGAAGTGCTAAAGCCTGAATGCTTTTACCATTTGGGGGACCTCAGTCTCCTCTTTTCTCCCACATCAGGCTTAGCAGAGCCCATTGACAGCACTGCAAGGTTCTACCCTATGGCTCAATAGTGCCTCTTTTCACCAGAAGAGCACAGTCCATATATGTCCAGAAATGTTCAAACACCCATTGTAGGAAACAGACAGAATAGCAGTTTTGTATCGTGGTTTGGTTTTTTTTTTTTTTAATAACTGTTTATATAGATTTGTGGTAAATTTCTTAGGTGTATATTCTTTTGAGAAACCAAACAAAGGTAAATCTTTGGTTCCAAGAGAACCCCACAGATGTAATGAAACTTGCAGAATATGGAGCGGTGTCTCTTGCACTACCACGACAGCAACAACTTGTCTCAAGGACTGTTTGTGTTGTGTGCTTTGTAGTAAGTTTTCTTTAGCATAGTGGGAAAGCCTGCAGCACTTCACATTCCCACATGCAGTATTTCCTCCAGAACTCAATGTTCTCCACAGAATATATTAAAATAATGTTTTTTTTTTTTTTTTGTAGTAGTAGTAGTAGTCTTTGTTTTGCTATTGATTTTCTTCTTTCTCTTAACTTACTAGCTATCAGAGAACATGTATCTAAACTGTGCTAGTCTGCATAAATTGTTCTCAGAGGTCTGAGAATTTGAAAGAGAGATGCAATATACTTGAGCCTTTTCAGACCTTCCCTTTGTACTTTCAGGTACAATGTGAGGATACAAAATTTCTTCACCATCAACAGCAAGAATGTTAGAAATGGTGACACAGTCAACAATGAGCTGGAAGATGGTAATAAATGTTATGCCCCTAGTTGTGATGACCCATCCATTCCATTATTATGGAAAGGTAAGGCTGAGCAGACAGGACTTTGGAAAAGAGTAGTTCACAAAATATCCTTTTTCTTCTAGTGCTGGTGAAAATGTTGTCACTATTGATTCTTAATCAGAAATTTATATTGGATTAACTTTAAAATTCATCAGTAAAACCACTGAAGAAAAATAATAATAAAGAAAAAGAAAACCAACCTGCTTTATAAATCAGCAGTTTTGCTTCATCTTTGATGTTCAGTGATGAGCTACAACACTGTGAAAGAAATATTTTTCTTTTGCCAGGAAGAAGGTAATCTTCACTTCAAAATTTGATTATGGCTGATATAGAAACTGAGATGTGAATGTTGAGGGAAAGACATAGGCATCAATGAGCAAGGAGGAATCATATTGAGCTTAGATCCTGGGAAGGTTGTCCTTCATGTTTCTAAATTTCTGAGTATACGTTTCTAGATACATGCATGAAATCAGGAAATGTGGGTTCTTTGCAGTCTATGTCTATCATAAGGACAAAGAAGTTGACACCCAACTTCAGGTTCAACATAAGCAAACGTACTTTTTTGTAGGCTTCCTTTTATCTCTGTATTATCCCCCTTCTCATCATTAATATCCTCAAAGTTTACTGTAGGCTGATATAATGATGGCACACACCGACACTCATGTATTGGCTGTAATATTTAGGCAACACTTTAATACTGATATTAAAATACTTCTCCTAGAACATCATAGCATCAATAGAATGTCTTTGAAATATTTTCATTTATTTTTACAGTGAATTTTCATTAGCATTGACTATCATATAGCAAAGTCCATTAGTTGGACACGGGGGTGCATTGCATTCCTATGAGATTTACAGGGTATCTCTTAGGGAAGTTGTCACTGGTATTCCAGTCAGTGCAAAGGAAATGGATGATAGAACACAGATATAGGTGGCTTTTACTTTTGAGTCCTTTGTGCAGTTCCGATGTCATCTCCATTCTTATACTTGTAGGTCATATATTCTTAAGAGTCATTCTTTTTAGATTTATCTTAAAATTCCTCTCAAGTTGAATGTTAAGATGCGACCTTCATCCTTCCTAGCCACTGTGCGATGGAGGGGTGATAGCACAGAGTGTTTGCCTGTCCATCTTCTATTAATCTTCTCAGGAAAGCTAAGGATCATTTAAAGCTTGTGAAGAATATGCAGAATTTTCAGGAAGAGCGGCAGAAAGATAACAAAAGCTGGGACTCACAAGCATGGTATCTCCACTAGGCACCATCCACAGCAGACTTCATCTCTAGTTTGCCGTAGAAATGCTGTGAGACTGCAGCTTCAGTCAGATTGCTCTGCTTGTGGATGCTCAACTTCACAAGCTGAGCTCCACCCTCCTCAGAGGCATCTTTTAGAAACAGGGGCCCTGCAAGCAGCAGTGAGACAACTAGAGCTTGTCTGTGCCTTACCTCCAACCAGGTAGCAAGTTCCAGGAGCCAGGGAATTCCCTCCCTTGGGTTTGCCATGGCACAGGTGTAACCATAGTGTGGTTCTCCAGACAGAGCTTTACCCCAAAAAGAACAACAGCTGTGGGTGAGGAGCTTTCTTTCTACTGTTGATGGTTAATCTGTTGCTTAAGGTGCAGATAAATGGGGTTCACACACTGCACAACTCTCTTTGATCTTCTTAAGTTTTATTACTTTCAAGAGCTTCCAATGATAAAACATAAAAGCTTCCATTACTGGAATTTCAGAGAGTAAAAGGAGAGCTTTTCTCTATGAGATAGTTTCAGTGAATATACACTCATGTGTAGAGTGAAAGCAAAAGATTTTACTTTTGTGAATACTGCTTATAATTAAAAATGTATATATTCCTATTATTTTTTATAAACAAACACTGTGGCTTATTGCTATTGGCTTTAATTATATTGACCCAAATTACTTATAGGTGAAAGAACTCTAGCCAAAAGTGATTTTCTGAATAGAATGCAATGTAAATGTGTGTGGGCCTGATCCAGACTCATAAATAAAGTCATTTAGAAGCTTTTTATTGTAAGATAAAAAGATAAAGAAGCAGTTTGGAGACTTCACTGAGAAATTCCTCTGAGAGCAACTAACCAGATGATGCTGTCAATCCAAGGATATCTCTTATTTTTTTTTTCCTTACAAGGATTGCTGTCAAACACTCAATTTTCTTCGTCTATCTAAAACAAATGTCAGGCTGCTATGGTAGGGTCCCCTTACATAAGGCGTCTGGTTTTCTTAGGCTAGCCTGCCTGGCTCTGTATTCCTTCACAGGAAAAGCTGCTTCACTGTAGCTGCAAGAGTCATCAGAGTGGCTGTGTGCCTCATTTGCATCATCAGCTGCACTGCTCAGCAAGGTTAATTTGTTTTGGATGTCAGAGGTGGGAGGATAATTGCTCCTTTATGTTTACTAAATAGAAAATTACTACTAGTTCTACTTTCCATTAGAGATTAGGCTGCAAAGGAAAACTGTAGAGCTGATTCTTTTTGAGTGGGATGTGTCTCTGAGAAACCAAAGAGCTCTTTATGACACCTTGGGTGACCTCAGTATACTCACTGAAAAAATTATTTTTGTGGAAAAAAAACAAGATGCTTGAATGCAAGAGAGTAAAAGATACAGCAACGTGGTGGTGATTTTCAGTCTCGCCAGGTTTTCCTGCTGAATGGTGATGAAAGGATATTTTTCTCAAACTTCAAATATATTAAGACATGCTTGAGATAGCAAAGCTTTACTGGATGATGTGATTTACATACTTGCATGGATCCGGACGTCTTCCTGAAAATGAAAAATATTTCATCACTTTAACAATGTAAACGATAGCTATATAGATCTCTGTGTGTTTAGGACAGGTCCATTTTAATTCCTTTGTTTTAGTTGAATGTTTCCCTAGATTTCCTTTGCTTCCTGATGGGAACCATGCACTAATAATTATCTTTTACCTCTACCTCCTAAATTCTCTTCCTCTTCTTAATGTAAGTAAGTTACTGCAAAAGGTGGGCGGGAGGGTGAAGCCAAGCTAAGCAAAGCAGTAACACAAGCAACAAAGAATTCTGTTGTTTCGTTTCCTTACATGTAATTACATGTAATAATTAATATTTATAACAGTCATATGTATATCTCCTGCTCTGCTTTCTAACACTACATGGATATGTCTCCTGTCTGCTGAGCCTTGCTCTGCTTGCTGTGTGTAGTCCGTAGCGCTTGTGAGAATATTGGTATGCTCTTCAGCTTTGGAAGTCCTTGCTCGTATTTATGTTGATTCCCAATATGATTTTGTCTCTCTGTTTGTTTTCTTAGCATGATAGAAAAAAAAAAAAAAAAAAAAAACCCTCAAACCTCTCACCTTGGTACAAGTTCCTTCATATTAGCAAAGGCTTATTTGTAACACACATTTGTTTTGAACAGTTGTTGTTTTCCATAGTTGCAGATCTTGTCATGTTACAGATACTACTAGTATTCTGAGAAAGTAAAGTGAAGATTTTCAAAGTGAGAGAACACTACATTAGGGACTTTTGGATGCACAGTAGTAGCTTGATCCAACGGGATAGCTTTATAGGTCTCAGGGGGGCTGCCTATACTGCCTCAGTGCAGGTGCTTTTAGAGAAAGTCTAAAAAAAACATAGTGGAGCATAACCAAAGAAAACCAGTACTACAGCATGAGTGGCTGGGTGAAAACTACTCCTGCTCATTGGAGAGTGGATTGATGGTGGTTGCCTCATTGGAGTGAAAGCCCCTTTCAGCACATGACTTCAATGAGATGCCCCACAGAGGAACAGATTCATCAGGCTGCAGAAATATTACGGGAAAGTCATTGGTAACTTGAGGCATTCAGGTGAATATGACACCCACACACACATCTGAGGAGGAGGAGAGAGGCTCTGGGTGAGGGGGATCATGGTAAGATCAGTTCCACAACTAACCTTGGCCGTTGTGCTCATTAGTGAAGGGGATGCAGCAGTACGGCAAAAACAGTGTGGTCATGGTGGATGAGATCATCTGCTCCAGTCCCCCCAAATTCCGGTTTCCCGAAGCTGGCTTACGGATAATGATTACAAACAAGTTTGGACCACGCACCAGAATGCGGATGGCAAGCCGCCTCATCATCAATGAGGTACGTTCATTAAGAAAGCAATAAATGACTAACGAGCAGGGAATTTGCCAAAAGTCCGTATTCATAGTGACTCTGGTGTTTGGATTCTCCCATGTTTCTAGCCTTGGGGTAGGTGTGTGTGTGTCTCTAACCACTTTGTCACAGCAGATGTGAAAATGGATCCTCAAGGGATGGTGCTTCCTCTCTTCAGGGTGGGCAGAGCATGAGGAAGGGGATCCCTTAAAGATCTGCGACCTTCTCTCTATGCAAGAGGATGTTTGTTTGCTTGTGTGTGTATGTTTGCACCTTTGAATTTTATCTGCAGCAGAATCGGCTTTGAGTCATTAAAATTAGTCAGGACAACAAAGGATAAACACATGAACAGCAATCAGCATCACATCCGGTCTTTTTAGTCTTCACTGTAGTCATCAGCTCAAAATGGAACCATTTTTTTAAAGGTTGGAAATTTGGACAATTTCATTTAAATAGTAATTAATATATTGTCACTTTATGTTGCTTTATTTTTTGTTTTGTTCTTTTTCCTCACATCCTGCAACGGAAAGGATTGGCTAAACTTAATTGTCCTTAGCTTAAATAAAGATTTTGGGGTGAAATCTTTGCCAACCTTTATTCTATGAAGAAGATATAGGATTTTATCCTTCGCTCTTTACAATAACAAATATGAGAAGAGGGTTTTCACTTTGACAAATAAATTAAATTCAGGACCTTCAGAAGCAGAGGCTTTTGCTAGTTCCCAGAATGTAGATATCATGATACAATTCTTTTGTTTGCCAAGATTGTACATACCTCTGAGAAAGAAAGCAACAATCTAATATTTTTGTAACACATGTCCAATTTAAAAGTGAAATGCTTTTTAGAAAATCATTTCAGTGGAATATGACCAAGAGCAGGAGAAGATCAGATAAGGCACAAAGTGGCAGTTGCTTCTGTGAAACGTCAGCTTTGAAGAGAATTCACTGATCAAAGAAAAAAATCTTAAGCATTTCTTAATAGATATGCACCCTGAAAAATCCTTCTAAGCTAAAGCATTTTGCTTCTCTCTTGTCCTGTGCTCATATTTTTGGTTTTGCAAAGCATTCAGATATGAGTATTCTCTATTTTTATTCATAATTTCTCTATTTTTAATCATCAGATTTAATATTAGTCTCTTTTTTTTTTTGGTGGTTGTTGCAGTAACTTTATTTTTCAAGGCAGAACCCTTTAGAGAAATTGCAACAATTTGTCATTAAAAAGAGAGCACTTCCCAACTATCTGTTGTCTCACATAAAAAAAAAAAAAAACCCACAAATATTTCTTTTTTAATCTATTATATAATATAATATTGAATAATTTAACAATATACTAGATATAATAATATATTATTTAATAATATTATTTAATAATATTCTTATATAATATTATTACATTCCACATTCTCCAGTGTAGTAACTGCTATATATGCAGATATTTAAAATTGATCACTGCCATTATTTTATTATATATTGCAAATGCAGCAGTCAGAGGTAGGGGTGATATATGCATTTCATAGGGATTTGTATACTCAAGCAAAGGGAACTAGGGTTAGTCTTTCTTTTGATATGTAGGATTCACATGAGCATCTTTAGTACAGGAAATGGAGATGGGAAGGAGGCAGAAGAGTAGGATATCATTAGGAGAGATCTGGGGTCATGAGTCCCTGAATGCAGGGAGGAAGGGGACAGGCTGTTCTCACTGGTGGCCAGCGATAGGACGAGGGGTAATGGCCACAAGCTGAAGCACAAGAAGTTCCGTCTCCAGGTGAGGAGCAACTTCTTTACTGTTAGGGTAACAGAGCAGTGGAACAGGCTGCCCAGGGAGGTTGTGGAGTCTCCTACTCTGGAGGTCTTCAAAACCCGCCTGGATGCCACCCTGTGCCACATGCTCTAGGTGTGCCTGCTTGAGCAGGAAGGTTGGACTAGATGATCTGTAGAGGTCCCTTCCAACCTTAAATATTCTGAAATATTCTGAAAATGAGTCCTTTGTAGGCCACCTTTAATACCATAGTAACATCTTGAGTGTTACTGCTCAGTTATGATACTATGGCTGGTCAGCTCCTAGTCTGGGTAGGACGTGTTGAGTCAGAAGGGTTTCAGAATAACCAAGCTCATTAAAATGGCATGTGAAAAGAAAAAGATATGAGAACTTTCTCAATCATCACTTGAAATATCCAAATTGGTAATTTTGAGATCAATTTTTAATACTCACCTCACAAATATAGGTAGGTCACCTACAGCTGTGTTTGTTACTCTCTGGAAGAAAGGCTTTGTGGAGAAATTCCAAGGCTCAGGTGATTGGGGCAGGACAAGCAGTGAAACACGAGTGGAACAAAGTCAAGAACCTTTCCAAGCTTATGGATGTTTTGTCTGTGACCCTGTGCAGCGTCAGCGACTAATCCAATCTGCGAATGGCTCAAGCAAACAGCTTCAGAATGGGAAGCATGAAAATATTGAAAATGGGAATATCCCTGTGGTGAACCAAGAGGAAGAAAACGAGCATGACAATCTGTCTCCATTTTCGCTGCCAGGTAAGCCTAAGGAAACAGAAGAGAATTAAAATGCCAAACACTAGACTGTAAGAATAGACAGCAAATGTGGGGAGAGAGGAGGAAGGGGATTGATTTGACTCTTTGGAAGCTGGATTTAGGGAGAGTAAAACCAAATCAGAGGCTACATGACTGAAAACAGATCATAGAGAAATGTTTTCCAGCTGTCATGTGGAAGTGCTGGTTTGCCAGAGGTGAAGAATAGCAGGTAAGACCGGTTTATATTTAAACCATGTCAGACAAACCTGGTGAGCATTCTACTAAAAGTAACTTTGAAGTAAATAATATTTGTCTTTTGAAGGTTAGTTGGCCAAAGGCTGCTAGGTGTATAAAAATCTTGATATAATGGCTTACAGGGATGACTTCTTGAAGGAAGATGAAGAAAGATTTAATAAAAGTTTAATATTTTTGATGGTGTTAACAAGTCTTAGAGAAGTAGTATCTAATGCTAGTCGCATTTGAAAATTATTTTATCCTCTGGTGTAAAAGGCTATGTATAATCAGTCTTATTATGATGTTGCCCTTAGTGTGTTACATGTTGACTCACTCTCAAAAGCTGTAGTGATTAGACAGCAGGGATTAAATCACCCTTCACAGGTTCATAGTCACTAGTCATCTGGCATACTGCTACTGTTTAATGCCAATATTACTCTGCATAAACGAATATCCCATGTAGTGAAAAAGAAGGAAGAATTTTCTGTGTCTCACACAGAGTTCTAATATCTTGGAGATCACATCACTTCATTTGCTACCATTTTGAAGAGATGCTTGTGAATGAACAAACATCCAAGCGTATTGAAAAAATTGCCCTGTGAAGCGTTGAAAAAAATGATATGTTTTCACTTATCAGTGTAGCGTGTGCATTTACAGAACCATCTTGCAGTCAGCAGTTACAGGCTTTCATCAGGGGCTGAAGAACGGTAACAACTAATTCATTATAGATTAAGCACTCTGAATGGGCTTATTTTTCAGTGAAAGCATGAAAAACACATTTTTATTGCATGGCAAAATAGGTGAATATAAGTCAAAAATATGCTTGTGTGCCTGAACATATTGATATCAATAATAATAATAGTAAATGTCTCCCAAATGATGTTAAAAATGCAGTGTTGAATGCACATTTTGGCAGAGAAGACTTTTTAACCTAGTTGTTTCCAGTAAGTTTTTGGATTCAAGGTTTAATTGGGCAGCCACACATATCTCTTTATATTCCAGGACAATGCAGAAATCTGGACATGCAGCAAACATTACTTAGAGACCAAATTGTTATATTCTCTTCAAATCATAAATTTCTTCTGTAATAATTTCTTCAAGATGTGATCTTCCTCTTTATGAATAAAAAAATAGACTTCCGTGTGGAACTTTCAAGACTCGTGACGTTCACAGTAGGCAAAATGTTTTCAGCTATGGAGGGATTTGTAAGTTATGCTATGAATTGCCCATTTCTTAATGCAGTTTATCTGCATTTTTTTTAGAAAGCCTTTCAAAATAATTGAGTGTAACAGGCCAAAGTGGAGCTGCAGATGATACATTTCATACTGCAGTGGAGCAAAAGTTCAACATGAACTCAAAGAGTATGCATAGAAGTGGTGAAGTGAATGTTTAAAATCCTCATCATTATTTTCAGGTTTTGTTATTCCTCTCCTGTCTGGAGAGATTATCTATTGGTTAGGTTCTCATTACTATTTATTATCTATTGGTTCGGACAGTTATATTTTTCCTCTCAAAAGTGCCTCTTTAGTAATTTTGAAAAAATGTAAAGAAATAGTGACAGGCTTTGTTGTTGTTGAAGTGCTGTGGCACAATCAGTAGCCTAAAAAACCGTGACATTTGAGTCTGACTTTAAGGAAAAGGTAGTTTGCAGATGGTTTCCCAGAATCCCCTCTGTTTTTCTTTTGATATATTTTCAGGCCTGGAATAAGGCATATACAATTTCTAAAGATCAAAAGTTCATTTATTCTCTCAGTACTAAAAAGAGTGGTATGAAGAATAGCCACTGAAGGGACTTTGTAAGTCAACTGCTTGCAAAGTGCTAAGTAGAAAATTCACTTTTTTCTTTTAGAACTCCAATGGAAATTACTATGAATCAGTCCAAAACTTTTTTTTTTCTTTTTTCTTTCTTTCTTTTTTTTTCTGATGTTCTGTAGTCACCCTTCTTTAGCCTGCTTGGGTTTTGGCTTTGGTCCTTCAAATTCCATGTCTTGTATGCTTTTGTGAGAAGAAATATCTTCTGAAGCAGAAAAATATATGCAATATATGCCTCCTATTTCAAGATGGGCCTGAAACACAGCCAGGGGGAAAATCTCTTTAGTTTGAAAGATCTAGGGTTGGGCTTGACACAATTGTTTGACATCCTTTTCATGTAAAATTTTTTATTCTCTGCTACAGTGCTCTAAAGGCCTACTTTTATAACAGAACACTATCATTGATAGTATATAAAGTATCAAAGGACAACTGGACATCACGCAGGATCGTAAATTGCAACATCTCATGGTCACTGCAGCCAAGACTGCCCCCAACCCTTGCATTTCCATCTCCGTTTGTTAGCATCAGGTCTAGCAGCGCCCCTCCCCATGTTGGCTCGTCAGCCACCTGTGTCAAGAAGCTATCTGCAATGGTCTGCAAGAACCTCCTGGACTGTCTGTTCCTGGCTGTGTGATTATCCCAGCAGACATCAGGGTGGTTGAAGTCCCCCAGGAGGACCAGAGCCTGTGATCGGGAGGTTTCTTGCAGCTGCCTGTAGAAGCCTCATCCACTTCCTCGTGCTGGTCAGAAGGCCTGTAGTAAACTCCCACAAGTGTTGTAATGCTGTCCCTGTTGGCCTGCCCTTTAATCCTCACCCACAGGCTCTCGACTCACACTATGTCCTCCCCTATGTCGAGCTCCGTACATTCCAGTTGCTCTTTCATGTAAAGAGCAATTCTGCCACCTCACCTTCCTGCCTGGTCCTTCCTGAAAAGCCTAAAGCCCTCCATGGCCACATTCCAGTCACAAGAGCTGTCCCACCATGTCTCAGTAGTTGCAATGAGATCATGGCCTTGCAACCGCACACACATCTCCAGTTCCCCTTGTTTATACCCCATGCTGTATGCATTTACATAGAGGCATCTGAGTTGGGCTCCCAATGTGCCTCTCATTCTATCTGGACAGCTGCAGTTTGACTGTGTGAGCCTTCAGCAGTTCTCTTACTTTGCTGTTTAGCCTCTCCAGGCTTTGGGCACCCTTCACGGGCCCAGGAGTTAGGCTGCTGTGAGTGGCATGACAGGCTATTGCCTGCTACCTTGTCATCTGCTTCCCCGATGATACCCTGCTCCCACCTTGAATCTAGTTTAAACCCCGCAATGAGCTCTGGTAGTTCATGTCCCAGTGCTTTCTTCCCCCAGTGAAGATGAATCCCATTAGATGCCATCATGCCTGATACCATGTAAGGCTTCCTTTTGCTAAAGAAACCAAAGCTGTAGTGATGACACGAGCTACGGAGCTGTGTGTTGATGGACTGTATCCTCTTGTTTCTGTCTATATTGCTGCCAGCACCAGGAAGAATGGTAGAGAAAATGACCTGCACGCCCAAGTTCCTGATCATCTGATCCAATTCCCTAAAGTCCCTTTAGATTGCCCTCAGGCTACACGTTGCCACGTCTTCTCCTCCCACATGTAGGATCATCAATGGATAGTAGTCTGTGGGTCAAAGCAGACTGGGAAGTTTCATGGTGACATCCTTAACCTGGGCCCCAGGAAGGCAGCAGACTTTTCTTAGAGGAGGGTCATGTCTACATATTGGAACCTCTGTTTCCTGAATCGAGGAATCCCTGACAACTATAACCCGCCTCTTCTCCCTCCTGCCTGTGGTCACGATATTTGGAGTTTGTTTTTCTGACTGTATTGCTGCCCTTCTGACTCTAGCTCTATTTTTGGAGGAGAGAGATGCTCACCTTCACTGTCCACTGATTGCCCTTCCTTCTCCAGGACCTTGTACCTGCTGGCTAGGGGTACCTGATAGGGTGAGATGGAAGAAGGTTTTCTCCTGCCACCTTGAGCTTGGACTTTTATCCATACAGTCCCATTCTGGTTTCTTCCCCCTTGTGTTAGCTGGGGGATGGAATATCTAATTGCTGTTGCTGGGCACCTCCTGATGCCTGCCCCTGTTTCTCCCTCTCTGACTTACGGATACTCCTGAGCTTTTCAGCCTGCTGTTTCAGCTCAGCTACCACTGTGAGCAGATCTTTCGCCTGTTCACACCTCACACAGTTGCTCTCCCCCAGGCTGTCCATAGGAAGTGTCAGGCTTTGGCACTCCTTGCCGCCCGACACCCAGACAGCTACTTGCGTTACTGGTTGTTCAATCTGGGTGTCTGTCTCCTTCTTAGTGAGTGCTGACGTGGCCCTCTGAAAGTAATTGCCACAGTGAGTATCCCGGGGAGCTCACTGCTGCACGCAGGAGAGCTTAGAAGTGTATTAGGCTAGGGTTAAATTTAGTAACGTTATTATATTTGCTTGTCACTTTGCTCCAAAAGGATAGAGAGGTCCTGAGGAATTCTGTAAACCCCAGCCCTCTTCCTTTGAAAATAGGTGGCAACATTAAAACATATGAAATAAACCATGTTGAAATCCAATCAAGTCAAGACATAGCAAGAGTGCTCTGCTCTGTTACACTTCATGCTATTGTGGAGTATTACCCTGTGTAAACCTGTAGTAATTCTGTACTAAGAGTAAAGCTCATTTCTGCAGAAATTCTTTGTTCAGATCTTGTTCTGTTGTACCAAAATATGTCTTTAAGGGAACATTATTGTCATAAATCTGAATATGCAAAGGATTGTAAAGGCACATGCTGGAAATAGAATTTTTTTTTTGGACAGATCTCATGGTCTGGAATTTATAACTTGTATTCTGGAAAATGGATCTTCTATTCTGAGAAAAGTGTCAGAGTTTTGGAAAACAGTCTGTTTTGGAAGGAGATGAAAAATAAAACCTCAGTATTTTTCACAGAGAAAAGAATTGTCTTCAGAGACCTGTTGCAGAAGAATTGAAACGAGAATGTTTTACCAAGTCGGTTGCCCATTTGGAAGGGTGATGATGAGGGGATCATCTTAGATATGCTTCTACCCACTTTGTAGCCTATCTTTGTAGTCAGGAGAGTCATTTGCCTCTTTGTGATTCATGGAGAAATTTGCAGAGCTGAAATTAGGAAGAATTTTCCAAGAAGACAGGCAGTTAGCTGCTGTGTTAATATTCTAACAGCAAATTACAAAAAAAAAAACAAAAAAAACAAACAAACAAAAAAAGTTGACTCAGAAGTGTTTTATTTTGCAACAAAAGCATTTTTCAGTGGAAAATCATTTTGATGGAACACTCATAATGCATCTAGTCTGTTATATTTCTTTTAGGCGCTTCTGTGTTGTGTCTTATACTTGGGACAAAAATTCATATTCATGTGTTTTGAATACAGAACATGCTCAGAAATGAATTAGGCTTTCAGATTGGCTGCTTTGCATGTAGAAATTTTTCAACAGTCCTCAAACGTGATGGACAACACTTTTATAGCAGCAATTTCCCAGATATCTAGCTTACTACAAAGCTTCCAGTGAGAGATGTGTGTCTTGTTACTAGGCATTTTAAGTTCAAGATTGGAGTTAATATTACTAATGATATGTAAATATAGGCTGCTCTGTGCTGCAAACCAACATACAGTAAATGGGGATAATCAAGTTATATGTGCCTCAAAGGTACACTCTTGATCTGAACAAAAACACAAATTTATTTCACTCTTTTGTACAGAGCTCTTCTCAAATCCACATGGATGTTAAAATAGGAAAATACTTTTCCTATGAATAGGCACTTTATTTAGTGCCTTAAGGAAATGCCTCTTTCTTGAAATGGCTTTCTTGTTAATGCTGTGATATGTGTTAATATTTTTTACCATCTGTGGTGCATTTAACTTCTTTTCACCAGCAAACTCTCTGTACAGGAAAGTGCCTCTTTTAAGTGTTACATCTGGAAAGAAAAGTACTCCAAAAGAAATAATGAAAATTAGCAAAGGACTCTTTGTTGAAGTGCTTACCCTTCGTTTTCAAAAACATTGTAACCAGGCTTCTCTATAAGAATACCTTTCTGGAATATTTGGCATGTTTGGCTTCCAAAAATCTGTTAAATGTTTTTGAGGAGAAAAGGATATATAAAGGAGGAAAAATAACTTCAAGCAAAGAAAAATCCCAGATCATTCAGTGTAACAGTAGAGTCAAGTGAATAGAATATAAAGCACTGTGGACATTTATATCGAAGTAGTATTCTTTCATTATTGTCATGAGGGGTTGCCGTAAACAAATTATTCCTTTCCTTAGCTATATACAATGCTGCAGGAGCCTTCAGATCCAGAGCCCATAAGTGGCCCATACTGCAAAACAAAAACAACTGAGCTAATGTCCTATAATGGGACTATTTGTCATCTTTTACAGAACAGCTATTTATTGAATAATAGTGTTAATGATGATGGTTTTCCTCCCTGCAGATGTACAAGGCACTAAACAAGAATCATAATACAATTTGTCATTAACTAAAAACATACCCCAATTAAACAGATTTATAACTAAATGATTTTAATGGTTATTTTACAGTGGGTGATGAAAAACAAGTCAACAGCAAAAGAAACATTTTCAAAACAGCTAAAAAAGAGTAGTTCACAAGCTGGACGTTGTTTGTGTATTTGTTTAAGCCAGGTGAGGTGGATGAAGTAACCAGCTTCCTGAGGAAATGAGGTCTCGCTTTGTTGGGATGTTGCAGCAAACCTTAACTAAACTACCAAGTAACAGTGGGAGAGAAGACTCCCTTAGCACTGGGTGGCACACAAGTTCCACCAGCACGGTGGCAGTTTAAGAAAAGATCTGAAGCAGAAGCAAAACCGGATCAATTTAAGACCTTATATAAAGGTGTATAAAGAAGCCAATGTAGAATGTATCATGTACATGGAGAATGTATCATGTACACTGGTCAATGGAGAATGTACATGGAGAGTACAATGGAGAATGTATCATGTACATGGAGAATATGGAGAATGTATCATGTATACTGGTCAATGGAGAATGTACATGGAGAGTACAGTGGAGTAGAATGGAGAATGTACACTGGGTCATGATAGTTAAGAGCTATTCCAGCTTATCTGTAAATGGCCAGCCAGCTTGTGTGTTAACCCAGCAAAACCCAGAATATATGTCCAGTCCTCTGAAGTCTCAACTCTGGTTGTCACATGATGGATGACAAGGGTCATCTCCATACACTAAGTAACTGCAAAATGCAGTTCTGACCCATACCTTCCTGTGGATAAAGCATCACAGGGAATGAAGCAGGATTTTTAATTTAATGCACAGCCATTCAATATGAGCAAACGCAAGGGAAAGGCAAGTCCCTTCCTGCTAACATTTCTTCTTCCTAAGAACACAGCAAGATTAATGCCAGAGGTAAAGCACTGTGAGTTCTCACTGCTTAAGCATTTGCCCAGGTGATTGAGGATGGTGGATCTGACCCCTGGCAGGATCTGTATTCATCAGTAGAGATTAATAGCATCTGTCCTACTTATTCTTTGGACTTATTCTTCTTTAGTTTCTTTCATTCATGGTATTGAAAAGACAGTGGTCTTGAATTTCTTCTGTGGGGAGCACCACTGAAACCAGTCAGACTACATCAGCCTCAGCTCAGAGTCAGATCTGTATTTTTTCCTGATAGTCGCCCACTCATACTACGTTTGGAATTAAGCACTGAGGCAATTACCAGCATAGCCCATACTGACTTGTTTGACTGTGAACCAAGTTTAGCAACATGGGTAGAGAAGTAGTACAAATTAACCAGCAGGAATCTTTTAATGATCCAAACTGAAACAAACAGAAAGAGGTGCAAATTATCGTATGATATTTATGGCTTTGTAAGGGGAGTTGAAGTGAGATGTGAACTAAGAAGTGGCATTTCTTTTTTTCTTGTACAGAACAGATAAAAGGTATCTGTTTTAAAAATCTCTGTATGTAACTGTACAGAAAAAGGCCTTTCCAGTAAAATCTGCAATAGCTCCCCAGTGACTTTGAAAATTTGAGGACTAAAATCAGCCAGGGGTCCTTAGTAGCTTTATATGTTTCTTCTGCAGCCACAAGCTAAAACATAAGCAAATCCTAAATCTCAGTGTCTTTGCTGAAGGAAAATTTCTGATGAAATTGGAATTTTCCCTGATTATTATGATCACTTTTTAATTTAGTTATATCAACTTATTGGGAGATGTATCTGATGGTTTTCAATGTGATCACTCATTTTGCTTAAAATTGCGTATTTTGATCTCATGGATATAATTATCAATTTATTTATGTAAATTGTAATAACAAGAAATCCTTATTAATGCTTATATTCTTATTATAACAAAATATATAAAGAAAACTCAAGCAAAACCCACTATACAATTGGCTATAAAAGCAAGTTTGGCCTGAAAAACAAATATATTATTCATCTTACAGGATACCTCATGAAATCTGGTATTTCCAGAATTTATATCTCTGAAAAATACATCATATTTATAAGTCTCTTTTATGTATTGAGTTTTATGTGCACATTTACAATACTTACCACTTTCTAAAAGTGGAAAGGTTCACACTTGCCTTCATCAATAACAGCAGGTCTCCGATATTGCCCACGGGTTGATTTGAGAGCTGTATAAGGGGAGGCAGTATCTCCAGTCGTGCTTTAGAGACACTCCGTGATGCCCAAGGCGGTGCTCTTCACATTTGCAGAATTAGTTGTCAAGTCTAGTTCTGCTGACTCCGAGTGTGAGGTGCTCTCCAAGTGACCACAGTCAAGTGTATGAGGCAAGGTTGTCATGCTCACACTTGGGGTCTAATAGTCTGTTTTTCTATGAAAATGTGTTTCTGTTGTTGCACAGAAGGTGCAGGTTATTTTCTCTACTAGTCTTTCAATCTTCCTTTTCAATAGTTCATCACATAATGTATATATATATTTATTTTTTTCTTTTGGATTAACAATAACGATATATGTATCTGCAAGAGCAGCAAAACCAAATAGTATTGTGGTTTAAAAAGCAGCCGTTTTTTTTTTGGATTTACATGCATTTTGGCAGGCTTGAACTGCAATATCCTGGCATATGCTTGCAATCTCACAACTTGGATAATGGTATAAGTACAGAGCAAGTGAGGATGAAAGGTACACTGGAAAATGAGCTGACATGCACAATTTTAACCAGCTTTCTGAGATCTTATCTGCTGTGGTGTAGCTGGGGCTAGGATAACAACAGAAAAATTATACTTTTTTTTTTCCCTTTCTTTGTCTTACAGATGGAAAAATGAACAAAGTAAAATGGATTTTGACATGGCCATTGATATTCCTGCTTTTTTGCACCATTCCAAACTGCAGCAAACCACGCTGGGAGAAATTTTTTATGCTGACATTTGTCTTATCCACTCTCTGGATTGCCTTGTTTTCCTACTTTATGGTGTGGATGGTAAGTGCATGTAGCCAGACTTGCCATATTGGCAAGTACATCTCAGGTTAGCTAATATATCTGTTGTGTTTTTGTTAAAGTATCATAGTTTAACCTCTTCAGTGGATATTCTAATTATTGTAATTTTAACTTTATTCTGCTATTTTCTCACAAATATTTGAGCCTTATCCTTAACTGTGTGGGGCATTTGTAGGAAGGTGACACCTCCAAGTCCTGCTAGTGGATGGAGGTCTAAATGGAGGCATCTCTCTTGAGACACCTTTAGAAATACGGCTATACACTCTGATACTGAAGCATGTAGTAAAGTCAGGTAACAAAATTTGAAGACTCACAAGTACTGTAAAATACTGTGAGTGGACTGTTGGAATAAAATCCTTTTTAGGAAACAGTACTGTGCTTACAAAATGTTTCTCTTTGCCTAAACATATGAAAAATAGATGGTATCTGGTGTAGATCTGTAAACTGTGATTAATTTAGGAGCACATTTACTTGAAGATTTGACTAGGTTCCTCTGTTCTCTTTCCTACTATCATTTAGTTTCTATTTTGAAGTGTACATTTACAGTCAGAGAAAGGGCACAAATAGGAAAGCACCTCAAACTGGTTTTAAGTATGGAAAAGAAATAATGATACTTTGAAGTATACTTTGGAGTTATCTTTCTACTACACTGAAAGATATTAAGCCAAGAAGTAGTACATACCTGCAATTGGTTGCTCCAGGTATTTGAAGAATTCATATATCCATTCATATATCCATTTTTTTCCTTCAGAAGAAAATACAGTGAAGAAGTCGTTGAATTTTTTCTTATTGGAACTGTCGACTTCTTTCATTTAGTCCTAGAAATGCAGTAGGCTGAAATTTGATATTTTAGAAGAATCTTTGCTCATCAGCTTCACTGTAACTTTTTTGGGTGCAAAAAAGCATCTCTATCTTCCCCAAGGGTGTTAATCATTTGTGGACTGCTTTATTGTTGTGTTTTCCCTCATGGCAAATGTGTTCTATATATAAATAAACATCATAAATATTTGGTTTATAAAGTTTTACATTATAGAGTAGCCCTTCTCCCTTCTGTTTTGGAGACACTTAAAGAGAAATTTATTTGGCAGCCATTCATTCTTCCTGGTATAACTGTGCCAAAGCTATATAGGCATTTCATACTATCTGGCCTTTGTAAGACTATGCTTGTAAGGCACTGGTGTCACCCACATGTTTCCCCCTTCTCAAACAAGAGGTGCGCTCACCAAGGCTGCCAAACCTCCTATTTCAAGAGGCAGCCAGATCTGAGTACCCCATTACCAGTTAGAGCAGGGGATTCTGCTCCCTCTTGTTCCTGAGCCACAGTTTGCCTTGACAATACGAAGGCTGGTGAGTGGATTCCCTTCACCCTTAGCATCCTTGACAGGGAAGCAGCTGCCTGTCCCTGCTTCAGTCCTTTTGCTCCCACAAGACTATTTCTCTTGTGTACTTGGCTACCTGTCCAGTTTATTCTGGAGTCATCTTCAGTGTCTTTGAAAAGCTACCTAAATACAGTAGCGTGTCCTTTCAAAAAGTTGTGCTACAAGTTTCAGCCACTTTCTAAGTTCTGGTAAAGCTGCATCTGGATCCCCAAGGGACAGTATAACAAGACCTGCTCACTGCAGGATTGTATCAGGAGTCATGCAAGAAACTGGATCCTTCTTCATGTACTGGCATAAAATAAATTATTTGTATCTCTGCCCCTGTGTCCCAGTAAAAATTAATGCTAGTCCTTCTGTCTTGGGAATTGCACTAAGAAAACTCTTGTCATTCTTGGGAAAGAAAAGCAACAATAAACCCCAGTGGGCTGGATTTTGTATGTGCTCCTCCTTAAAAGATCAGTATGTCTTGTTAGAACTACAGAAAAGGGAGTTTTTTGTACTGCTTATAAACTGCTTAGGAGTTTACGCCAAAGTACTTTTTACTAACTTGGTTTTCGGCCATTTATTGCACAAATGGATAAGTGTCTTGAGTCAGGGTCCACACCAAAACTCAGAGAATGCCATAACTGTATTGGAATGGGGGTCTTTCCAAATGCTAATCTCTTTTCCTTGCTGTTCAGGTGACTGTGATTGGATACACCCTTGGGATACCAGATGTGATCATGGGCATTACTTTCCTAGCTGCAGGAACAAGTGTCCCCGACTGCATGGCCAGCCTAATAGTAGCAAGACAAGGTACCTTGTCCGATGAAGCATAATTACACTCCAACATTCCTGTTCTGTGGTCTACTTTCTCCATATATGCAAATCCTAAATGCAGTTTTATTGTTTGTTTTGCTGTATTGTGAACCAAAAAGTCATCCCTGTCCTGTTATCTTTTGCTTTATGGGTTTGGGCACAGTCTAGCCTTCTAGGTCATTTAACACTCAGATATCCCATGCAAGCTATGTGTCACTCAGGGTAAAAAGATGAAAGGAACAGGCAAAACTGGAATATCAGCTATTAAAACACACTGAAGAATATATGCTGATCAGCACATGTTCGTGTAAAACTTGTAGTGATTTTCAAAAGATCTGTTAGAGCCTAGGGAAATGAAGTGCTTTAAAGAGGATGTGGCAGAAGTGAACTAGCTCCAAGCGTAGTTCTCATCCCAAATGCAGACCTCTTTTCCTTTGTCATGAGTAGGGAAATTGGAAGAAGTTTTAGACAACTATCTGCAATGTCCTCATCAACTCTCTAACTGAAACTATCAAGTACTTCTCATGTATCTTTAAACTTTTGATTAAGTTTTTTTACATTTCCTATTTTGCTTGAGAAGTATCTCTAGCCACATCCTTTCCTGTTGTCACTGAAAAACATTAAACCTGACAGTGTGCTGTCCTGCACCTCGGTAGAAGAACAGACTCTGGTTGTCGTCTTGTCCACCACTCTAATTCCCCTAAGCTTTTTTTGTTTCCAAATAATGAGCTCTCCATTACACAATAGTGGGCAAATTGCAAGGGTTCTAATGTCAAAAATTAACTACCTGAAAGTCCCATCTTTGTAGTATGAGATAGGAATATTGCTATTAAATAATATCTGTCATTTTTGAAAGGCACACTATAAGTGTAATCTCTTTTTCAGAAGGGATATTACTCGATTAAAAAGGATTATGTTTAAAATAATTTTCCAGATTATGGATTTTTTCTGTTCAGGAAAATCTCACAAAACGCAGAGTAAAAGTACTCAAGATTCTTATGGAACTACCTTCCAACTAAATTCATTTTCCTTATGTAGTATTTAAGTGAACAGATTTTTGGAAGAACATAAGGAAAATTTGTTGCATTTGAAAATGAACAGACTGCTGTTTTAGTATTAGAAAAACTACTGTAGGTATCGTTTCTCCCAAAAGTGAAGGCCAACTTGGCAAAACCCAGCCCCTCTTTCAAAGAACAGTGTCAGGTTTTGGTACCACTTGGTTGCAAGAGAGACAGTTACAGGACAGGCTACAGATATTTAAGGAGTAGAGAGTAGTCCTGCCATAATAAAGATCTGAAGCATAACCTTTCTGCCAGTATCTCCCTGCAAGCAGAGGCTGTGCTTGTGACCAGCAGTGTCTGTCCCTGCCTGTGTGATCTCTCAAGTTTTTACAGGGTATGTCCCATTTGCATGCAAGTTCCTTTTTCTTCCCAGAACGTGTTTCATGGAAGTGATTCAGTAGCTAGGCACATGCCTAAGAGAATTTAGCAATGGCAGAGAAGAATTATGTTGCCTCCACCATGTCCACTGACATCAGGGTAGAAAAAGATGCCAGCCAGGGATGAACATGAGGAGCAGTTCAGTACTGTCTAGTGACGTCAGTACTTTTCACTTTTTTTCCTTTTTTTAAAAAAAATCTTTTTTTGGCACTTTACGACAGAGTGAGTTGTTTCTGGTTAGGGCCTGACACCCAAGAAGTGCTTACTATCTTTGACTCCTATCTGGTTTAGTACTTTTCAGGATTGCTTTTAGCTGCTGACATGAGCTAAATGTCAGGCATCCACATGCTAAAACCAACAGACGATCTTCACGTTCTCTGTGGCTGCAGACTGTCTAGAACAACTATATCAACTTGACCTCAGATGTTGACCTTTACCTGTGTTGAATAACTACCTTTGCTGGTAAAGGCTATCCAAGCCACAAGGAAGATACAACTAGAAATTTTGCACACACTTTTCAAAAGTTATGCAAAGATTATGGAAATTATCCCCCTACTTCAGGTCCTCTGGCCGGGCCAAGAGGGATTCAGTCAGTGCAGATCATTCCCCTTTAATTTCCTTTAAAACGTGGAGTATATGTTTGTTTTTAGCTGAGAGTTGTTTTTGTTTCTCTGCAGGCCTCGGTGACATGGCAGTGTCCAACACAATAGGGAGCAACGTCTTTGACATTCTGGTGGGCCTTGGTGTTCCCTGGGGTTTGCAGACCATGGTGGTGAACTATGGATCATTCGTATGTATACTGGGCATACTTTTACTCTGTCCATTTTGTCTTGTTTAAAAAATATCTATCCTAAAAAGGAAGTGTGCAGATAGAAAAACATCTCTTGAGCATGTTTATTGATTGCTAAATAACATATTATTTCTTGTTCAGGGAAGCAGGAGTTAAGGGAACAATTTGCCTTCCACAGGATGCAGTTCATTCCCATTGTTGTCAATTGGAATGCATAATGTTGCATAGCAGGAAAATAGGGCCATGGATATCTCTGTTTGGCTCTGCCATTTTCTGACTGCACAGCTTCAAGCACATGTCTGTCTCCCTGTGTCTTGGTATTTTTGTCTGTAAGATAAGAATAAAAGTGTATTTCTATTGAGGCTCTTTAAACTAGAAGTCCACTATAAATGCTCATGATTTTTATAGCAGTGGGATGTTTTTTATAGAGGTAGGATAACTTACCCATTTGTTTTGATTCTTTAACCATCCTATTCTCCATTATGATAAATCTATCATGGGTTTGTAAAATTTAAAATGGTAAGTCAATCACTATTGAAAACAGGAGGTAAATAACCATAAATCAATAAATTGGTTTCTGATCTCTAAAACACAGTTATGTATTGAGCACACTAAAGATCTCTTCTTTATCTAATTCCTACAGGTTAAGATAAACAGTAAAGGACTGGTCTATTCAGTTGCACTTTTACTAGGATCAGTGGCACTTACTGTAAGTATTTGTATTTTTCCAAATATAACTCTTGGGAGTATTGAAATTGTAGAATAATTATTAGCTGTTTAGTTGATATATTTTAGAAGGACAAATTGGAAGTACTTATCATCCCCAAAGCATTGACTGTTAGAAAATACAATCCCTCTAGCAATACCATGAGTAGAAGAGCTGCCACGGCTGAAATCTGGCACGTGGTGCAGTAGAGATGCTGGATAGCTCCCACTCATTTCAATGCCACTTGGAACTGTGGTGTCCAGAAATACCTCTGTGTCCAGCTGCATCCTCTGTGCTTTATGTGGGGATAAGATCCAGGTTCACTTTACTTCCTTTTGCATCTGTGTCTGGTTTCCAGGGCCAGCCTGGAATAAAAATATGATCTAGCAAAACCCCCTAATGAAGATTAGTCTATGGGTGCTGTGAACCTCAGCACTTTGAATCAGCATGCTAAGTGTTACACAGCGTAAAGCCCTTATCCTTGTAACACATGACTTATTAAGGAGAAATAATCATTCTGTTTCAAAAGTCAATTTTGCTGGTACTTAGGGTCTGATCCTGCTGACTCCCAGGAAACCCCCTGTGGGAAGAAACAAATCCCAAAGGTATAAATATGCACTTATACTAACATCTTTTTTGCCAGCTGCCTGTGAAGACTCTGTAGAAGAGGTGGTCACCATGGGAGATTGCACACTGTTGCATGGCTAGGTCTCACAAAGTTCCACATCAGCTGCACGCTGTTTTAGGTGGTAGAATGAGCGAGGCTGTTCACTATGCCACTAACTGCTTAATGCATCTCTTATATAAGCTATGGGAGCCTGTTCTTTTCCTGTCCTATCCCCAGTTCTGCTATACTGCACAGTGCTTATGAAACAACAAAGATATTCTTCAGACATTTGTATCTGATGACATTGCATGCATATTAGTAACTAGCACTTTGGAAAATGTAGGGGATTATGTAGCTAATATTATGCTAACTGTTCGGGGTTTTCTAAAAAGACCTCTCATAGCATAAACCATATCACCTGAGTTCATGGCATCTATTATTCTCTCATTTGTACTGTTGATTGCTCTGATTCGTCTCCCACCCCTCCCCAGCAAACATTAACAGAGTTTTTGTGCAAGACCAAAATAATAACTCAGAGCACTCCACACCACTGGAAATAGGACCCTTATGTGAATCTCACTCCCCTTAGTTCTGCTTTCTTTAATGATTTGCTCGGCTCAAACTACTTTGAAGCTGTTGAAAGAAAGAACATTAGGTGTTGGTGTTCTCTAGGACATAGAAGATCTGAGGAGGGCACTGGAGGCAAGAGGGCTTCATTGCATTTATTTAGCTGATACTGAAGCAATGAACAAATGCTGCTGTTCACCATGTATTGAAAATGCAGCACATACTGAAACTGAGCACCTAGGAGTCTCTTTCTCAGTTAAACGAAGAACTTGTGAAGAGGCTTTGAAGTGGATTCATTTAGTATTTTGTAAAAGCTTCTTAGCACAGAAGAGAGAGCCAAGGCAGTGTTTGAGTTATTGGATGGGCTTTTACTTCTATTTTCACAGAATCACGGAATGGTTGAGGTTGGAAGGGACCTCTAGAGATCGTCTAGTCCAACCCCCCTGCTCAACCAGGAATACCTAGAGCACGTTTGTTGATCACAAAACATGTGCTTCCTTTTCATCTGTAAAATTATGTATTTATGGTTAGGGATCTCTAATTCAAAAAGAAAATCTAATTCTAACTTGTAATGTGATTTCCACATGTTTCCTCTGGAGCTTAATTAACTAAGACTTTGTTTACTTGCAGGTGATTGGAATCCATGTAAATAAGTGGAAGCTTGACAGGAAATTAGGCATCTACGTATTGTTTCTTTATGCTGTTTTCCTGTGTTTCTCTATATTGATAGAGTTCAATGTCTTCACTTTTGTCAACTTCCCCATGTGCCGAGAAGAACTTTAAACCACAGTAAGGAGAGACACTGAGATTCTGTCGATTACATGTGCTGTAAACGACCGGAGACTTTTGACATTTCTACCATGTCTCCGTCAATAATTGAGCGTCGTTCCTGCTTCATCAGCTCATAAGCACTTTTACCTGGGTGGAAGGAAAACATCTTTCGTTTAACATGCTCAGTTGAGGCAACCAAAGCATTTTTCTCCTCTTTGGATATTGCTGCTCAGTCATACAGCTGTGTGGATCTCACGCAGAATCCTCAAATGTCCTATTTCTGGGACATACGGTTGAGTTTCTCATTCTCTTACAGACAATCAAAAATGACCACCAAGGTTAATAGAAAGACTGGAGAAAAATCTTTATAGTTCTTTTGTTTTGGACAGTTACTGTCCATGGAGGAAGAAGAGGCAAGTTCAGAACTCTTCTTGGCTCAGTCAAAATGTCTCAGCTATAGACTGGAGAGTCCAAGGCACATACCATGGCATGCACTGTTGAGGACATAATTTTCCCCTTCAAGTGCTCTGCTTATAAAAGAACTGCACGGACAGTTTTTGATGGGAATGTTGACTATTTATCACTCTTTTCAATTAACATTATTGAGCAATGAACAACCTTTTGGAGAAAGAAGAGGAAATGGTTGATGTTGTATCACTTTTGATGATGCACACTAAAAGTAAGAGTATCTGAATATTGAAGAAGCAAATTTCATGCTGAAATTCATACTTGAAAAGTATGCTTTACCATCAACAAGAATGCTGTATACATAAATATAAACTAACATTTGTGGAATATTACTCCATGAGAAAAAAATGCATTGGCCCTAGTAAGTCCACTTTGTAAATTTAAAGGAAAGTAATTGAATAAAGTCCAACTGGGTGTACAGTAACTATCAATTATTGTTATAATCTGAGACTAGTATCTTAACACTATCCAGGCTTTCTGACAATAAAACTCACCCTGGATATAATTTGATTTGAGTGGTGGGGGAGAGAAGCTTATTCATCGTTAATGTATCAAGAAAGAAGTGTATTCTTCTCCATTTTTTATTTCTTTCTGCAAGCTTAATGAAGATGAGTGTCCGACACTGAGCGGTGCAGATAAGAAACAGCAAGGACAGAGCAAGTCTATCCAGAGAATCTAGTCCTTGGTTTAATTTTGTGCAACTTTTAAAGCTTGATATGCTTCTTTTTTAACCCTGGCAGTGATCCCTGGCAGAGCCAGGTTTTGATATCCTTTCCACCAGCATAAATCTGACAGAAGGAGTTACTCTGGATGGACAGCAAGATCTGGCCCAGACAATTAAGAATAATAAGTGGGTAACATTCCACGTTTTCGAAGTCGTATGATTGTCATTTTAGATTCATATGACTGAGAAATGAACATATTTTGAAACCTCTGCTAAACTTCAAAAATATATTAAAGTTATGTATGAATGAAAGAGCACATAAAGTTTCTAAAGAAGCACAGTTGACTTTATACATAGATATTTTTAATTTTTTAATGTTTATAAAGTAAATCTATCAACTAAAAGTTGATACATTTTTAAATATATTAATACTTTGCACTTTAGTCTACATATAAAAAATTCCCATTATTGCATCAATGAGAATATACTTTAAGTGTTGAATAAGCAAGCACTAACTCAGCAAGTTTTTTTTTGTTTTGCCATATATGACAAATAATTCCCTTTATCCATTTCACGTGTAGAAAAATGTTTACACCAGGCAATGTGTTTACAAATGAGGCTATTTTAAAGGTTATTTTGGTACAAATTAAAGAGTGTATTTTGCTGTTGAAATTTAATAGGAATTGCATTGAAAATAATCCTAAGGAAAACACGGCAACGTATGTGAGATTTGCTTCACACTTGTTACAGATGTCAGTATTAGCACCCAATTAAGCTTTGGGATTTTTCACCTTGCTTACATAGGTTAGATAGTTTACCTAACCAGTCCTAATATGGCAACAAATCTTTCATAATTAAAATGCTTTTTTGACTAGGCAAGCATGACAGTAGACTTATTTGCCCTCAAGTATGCAGGTGGCCTCTTGGCATTCAAGACATTTCTGCTGCAGTGTAAAGCAGAAGGAGTTGAATCCATCTTCGTCTTCCTGGATGTTCTGTTGCAGGAGGGCTGCAGAGATGCGGCACACTCCGGTCTCACCTCTCCTCCCTTCTGCCTTCCAGGAGGATGTTTTGCTGCTGGTACTTTTAGGTATGAAAAGAGTAGAGGTGGAAGCTGAGTTAAATGGATTCTGCCAAGGTTCTGCCTTTGCGTGCTCTTGGAGAACTAGCTGCCTCCAAGCAAACGTTTGCTCTTCTGTGTGCAATGCAGGCTGCCCAGATGTCTTTATACTACAGAAGAGTTCCAATATCTAGTTTTGAATGCCTAGTGAGGACAGTGGGGAGGTGTCAGCTGAGTTGACAGTGGTGAGGGCATCGGTTTTTACAGTGCCAGACCCAGCAAATTGTACTGTACCTTCATAGTTCTGAGCCAGCTGACTCTGAAAGACTAGGGGAAGCAATTTGTTCCACCAGCAGCTGTTCGCTGGCCCAAACATGGAGAAAAATGCTTGCTGATGGTGAACCCTTGAGACATCATTTCAAATTTCTGCCTAAATTGATAACATTTTTTATGGTTGAGATATGACTTGCACCAGAAAGCCTGTGTGTTCTGTTGTCACCAGTGACAATCCCATAAGGTAATACTGACTTTAAATGCCTGTCACCTCTGCAAGTCCTCACTAAAATGCAGACCCAGTTCAGGAAAATTTATATTGAATTTATATTGAATTCTAATGTTGCACCTCCTTAGGCAATGTCAAATGCACCTTCTGTTAAGAACCAGATATCTTGCCATGCTTATTATTATTTACAATGTTAATAAAGTTTTCCTCTAACAGCACCACATGACCAGGGGTATGTTGTTTGCCAAAGAATTATTAGACACTATATCAGGGCTTTGATGACACAAAGTATTGTGAAGTCCTTTATGCTAAAGAGTCTCTCTATATATTTATCCCTATGCTAAAACAAAGATGACAGTGACAGACCAAGCCATGCAGTCAAACTGGTGTGGGAAGAGGTCGTTAGATGTCAGGTATGCCTGCTCCAGAATGTGGCAGTAATTCAGGAAGATATTGCTGAGTAACAGCAGACCAGTGCCTTTCACATGTACAAAAAAAATTGCTCATACAGTTGGGAAACCACCACATATTTTGCAATTTTCAAGCAAGAGAAGCAGCAATTTGTGCTTGGCTCCCTGAAATTAGTAGTTCTGCATTGCATCTGTTCAGATTGTGTCGGTTAAATTTTTTAGCCATGTTGTTCTCCTAACCATTGCAAAAATTAGCTGGAATGTGTGTCATAATGTTGTGTAAGTTAATGTTCAGCCCAAGAGTGAAACGAAAGCTGGTGGATGTGAGAGGGAAAACTGTTACTGCAATCTGAAAATTGCCAGCATGCTAACACTGAAAAGTAATACAACTCAGAAAAAAAAAAGACATTCCATATCCAGCAAAGCTTAACTTTAGTAGGATGATTGTATGGCTTAAAGCTAAGCGTGTATTCAAGTGCCTTGCTGGATTGTGTCCTGGGATGACAGCTGAGCATGTTCTTTTGGTTTCGTATCGTGTTTGGATTCTTTCATATATTATTGGTTCTGTAGTCTAAACATTTAATTTCTTCCTCAAACAAAAAGGCTTGGCTAGAGTCTATGCACTTAACTGTGCTCTGCTGTTATCACTTTAGATTTGCAGTGTTGTTAATAAGAGGGTAACTGGTTCCTTGTCTCAGAAACGACTTCAAAACTGTGCCCCTTGCAGGGTGCACAAGCAGAATGAAAACTGCATTACAGCAGGCCAAGAAGAGCTTCGTAAGAGGTCTTTTCTGCTGCGTTTCCTTTGGAGGAATACAGTCCCATGTAGACCTGCAGGGCGAAATCCTGTCTGTAGTAATCCAGTGGGAGTTCTTCCATTGGTTTCAGTGGTGTCTAATTCCATTTATAGACCATAGCACTTGTACTGCATTATAAAGTAGCAGAAAGAAGTACAAAGTAGTTTAAAATGTCCCACTCCAGGTCCTCTGAATCCCATTTATGCATGGAGAGTATTGCTTGAGTATGGATTCAGGCTCAGCATCTACACGTCTAAACCTAAATTTGGAAAGCTAGAATTGTGCTGATCTTCATGACTATTTGGTGATCTAAGGGCTGCTCTCTAGGTTGTGGTCCAGCCTAGAAGAACACCTTAAGTCTTCCCTACAGGTACAGCAGAGTCAACCATCTTTCTCCTGGCTCAGTCATTGGTGTGCCAATTTTATTTTATTTTTATATGCTTCCTGCAGTTGTGACAAACACATAATTAGTTCCTGGTTTTAGATTCTGGTTGTAAATGTTCTGTCAAAATGTAAAAAATATGGAAAAGATTTTTACTAGGCTAACTCTTGTATAGCAATTATAGAGGAGATTCTGTTCTGTGTCTGAATCCCTTTGTGACTGTGCTTTAATTACACACACTTGTTTCTATTATGTGTTTGATCTAGTTGCAGAATTCTCTCATGAGTTTTGCTGTCTTCCATTCTTGGTTTTCTTGCAATTGTAATGCCATTTACTTGTACTAGATTTTTTTTAGAGTGATTTAGGTTGTATAAATACTGCCTGATTATTCATGCCAAGGAAAGATCAGACTTCCTAATGTAACACGAAACAGACACTAAAATAACATTGATAGTCAGATGAAACCAAAGAATCTTGCTAATTAAATGCAGCACCTTTGGGCACAACGCTCTGTCGCTACAAGCTTCAGATCCTTCAGTTATTTGTGTTTAAGCATTCAAAAGAAGATCTCTGCACTCTTGCACTTACTGCACATTTTCCTTTTTATTTTGGGGGGTCTGAACTACAGATTTTGCAAAGTTTTTTGGGTGGTGAGATGTATTTGACAGTTGTAGAATAATGATAGCATTTAGACTTAGCAATTCTATACTAACCCCACTTGCAGCTTTAGAATTCACATGAACTATTTTGAAAACTGTGTGAACAATGTTTTATTGAAGACAAGAATGTTGTGATTCATTCAAATGACAGCTACATTCCAACTTCTTTCCTATGATCTTGTGAATTACTTGAGTGCACAATTCCCTATTTCCACACAGTAGCAGAATACGGAGCATTTTTGTGTGGTTTTCTGATATTTTTTCCCCAGAGGAAGCTGTGAGATCCCACTGCCCCTTGTCTTGGCACCTCAGATACACGTAGCTCCTTCTCCTCAGGCTGAAATGCATCGTGATTGTGGCCATTTGTGTATCACACGTTCTGCTTGCTACCATACCTACGATATACAAGGCACTATCTGAAAGAAATGAATGATTATAGAAAATTGTCATTTGCTAAAGGCAATTACCAGTATGAAATGAATGCCATTTTTTCCTATTTTTCTTGCCTGCCGAAACCTAAGTAATCATCGCCCTGTTGTCGTTGAGGTGATCTTGATAAGCTTGAAAGCCACCTGGGAAGGTTGATGCAGAGCAATAGGGAACTGTGACAAAATCTGATGGTCTCAGAATGTATCAAACCTGGACAGGCAAAATTTCTGTAAACTGTGAGAGTAGAATTTGGCTCCCACTGTCTCCTCTGGTGCAAGCAAGTATTTGAAATCAGTTATGATCACTGAAAAAACTTGAGAACCTTTTAAAATTTCCTTTGTTTCACACTTGCAGGTGTTTGCAATGCACCCTTGAGAAGGGCGGTACCTCCTTAAATATTATTAAAACTTTCTAGAACTGCTTACTTTGAAAATGGAAAGGGATGAGTTTGTAAACTGTAAATAACAGAAATCTATTTATCATGTTATTTATTTTTTCAATGACTGTGACCTTATGCACTGTGAATGCTCTGTGATATGGGGTCCTTTGTACAGATACATATGTCATGAAATCCAAATGGATTTAATGTGATAATTTGTTTTAAAATGTTGGCATGTTATTTGATTATTTTTATTGTGAAAATTTTAAAGAATAGTTAAAATGAACTAAACATTTATAAGAAAAATTCTAGAAGTCAGTAT